TAGGAAAGAAATTTAGAAGACCCATTGGCCACGCCAAAACATACTAAAATAAGGGGTTAAACAAGAAAACAAAGTACTGCAATTTCAATGTGAACCATTAACAATTCAACATTTAATAAATCCATCAAGTGCGTTCCGACTTTGAGTTGTGTGCACAAATAAATAAAATACTAAAGCAAACGAAACCTCCATTTATGTCGAGCATCACTTGTGGAAGGGGTACTAGCATTTGCCTCCAGAGGTGCACAAGATCCGTTTACTTAAGTGCGCCACTCTTTTGTGAATGGGACGTCACGCTTCCGATCTCTCCCTTCTTCTGCTTAAATTTACATGGTCACACGTAAGGAACTCCTGAGTTCTCTCATTCACTTGTGGCGCCTTAGTACATTTGCTGTTCTATTTCATTTTGAAGGCTTTCCATTCCTGCTCACATGCATGGAAGACCTCATTGGTCTTGCGGAGTCTTAAACCTGCCTTGCGATTAGTGCACAGGCGTGGGCAAGTGAGTGTGTGCACCATCATGTGAACGATGGTGAAGCCTTGTCCGTCGAACATTCATCCAACACGAAGAAATCCATGTGTACAGATATGTGCAAATCAACTCGCAAACGAGAATCGAGTAAAGTGATATCCTTCATTACCTATAAGTCAATCAAAACAAGCATTATCCAAAGAATTCTACTAGGAGCGGCTGACGAGAATGCATCAATTCCCATTTCATTCTTCCATTCGACTGGTGGATGTATCAGCTTGGAAGTAGACATGTTATAAGAATAGTATTATTAGCCGGTAGTACGGTCTTTAATTCTAAAGAGAACAATGAGAGCGTGAACAGTTATGAGCTGTGCTTGGTCAACAGACACGCCTTTCACAAGCATTTTCTCATACTAGCAGACATCAAACATCAGCCTTTTTCGTCGTCTCCATAATTTTTGCGTATCTCACGGCATGAACGAAATAGCAGGCTAAAGTAGGCTTCCATGCACGGTGCTGTAGTTAGAATGCTCTTCTCGAGTCTGCACAAAGCCTCGAAGTACGCGATCACGTTGCCATGAAGGTAGAAATGGGGTTCTAGCTCAGGAATAATAAATTTTGCCCTACGATCCTGATTTTTTGTTAAATAAGGACTTACATTATTTTAACAATGGAGGCGCGGAACTCTGCATCGAAAGCTGCACGCCAATCCCTTATTTCGGAATCAGCACTTTCGACTTCAGAAGGATGGGTTGAGGGACAGTCATCGCGTATTGACTGGGAATAGGCAACAATGAGCGGTGTCAGACGATCCGATATGGTGCATACTACTGAACAAGGGATTTGAAGATGTCGAAATGCGTCTCCCTCACTGGCGATGAGCCTGCCTACTGCACTAGTGAGGAATGTGGCATTGGAAGTAGATTGATCGGATTGCTGGAGAGGAGCAATTGAAACTGTTTCACCAGTCTCCGTGTTCGAATTGACATCCTCCATTATCTTTGCAAAACAAGAAAAACGGATAATGTATATGCATATATGGTAGCACCGAAACTAATAGCAAATGTGAGAATGTTAAAATAGCCCTCTCGCCATACTAGATGCACTACAGATTGATGGAAGCATTTTGTAGCCCCTACACTACCACTTAAGTTAAGTTCTCACGGAACCAACCTTTTTTGCGTCTCTTCTTCGTTAAATGTTCAGTGTTCTACCGAACCCTGTTTACTGCAACCATTTCCCCGTGAGCTGTCATCGTGGCCAGGAGGTCACCGAACTTCAAGCAATTCTTAATGCCTTTCAGCTTACCAATATGACGTCAACGTTTGTCTTTCCTTACCCCTTAATTGAACTTCAATTTCCAGCCTCTAATGATTATGCTTAGCCGATTTTGTACGGGCGTGATCGACGGAAAATTAACTGTCAGCTGGACTATTTGTATGAGAAGTGGAATTTTACTAAATTAGTGTGATTTTAATTCAGCCTACATTGCTTAACGTACAATGAAAGAAGACAGACCAACACCAAAAGCCCAAGACAAGGTGAACTTCTGGAAAAGGGGTCGTGCAAAGCATATTCCAATGCGTCACCCATCGATGATTCGTAGACGAACTAGATGACATCTGCTCATGGAAATCCACCTCGATGCTATGAGAAGTAGTGACTATCGAGGAGAGTGGTGAACTACTTATAGCGTCAGCGTTGCTAACTACTTTTAATGCCTGATCAGACCTTCTGTCACAGCAATTTCTCCATTGTCAAGCCGGTTTTGGATGCCTTCCTTACAACTGCTAGGTCGACTGTTTTTATGGCTCCCTTCTGCATTCCTTTAGGCGATCTTGAAGGACCAAGTTTGCTTAACATTAATAAAATTGCAAAATTTAATGCTATCCCTAAGCCAACATTTCTGCAACTACGATAATGGAGGACTAAAACTGTGCTCATTGACAGGTCAAAAAGGCACGTAGAGGTGAGTAATGGACAAATTCATTAGCACTTTAAGCCCTCATTTGTCTGTCAATGTGGGAGATAATCCAGCTTGATGTACATACATGCATGCATTGTATTCTTAACCCCCTGTTTTACTAGTTGTTCTCTTACCCTGCACGATTAGCTTAATAAAGCGTTTGGCTCTTGCCTTCTTCTGATTTGTCTCCTTCGCCAAAAGAAAACTAATTTTATCGAACAGAATGCGACTCGGAGAAGATCTAGTAATTTAGATTGTTTTGATATATGGACCTTAGTAAAATGGTGCAGTGTTAATGAGGTATAATGCCAGCCAACGTAGGACACTTTCATCATTGTCACTTTACGCTTTCCGAACATCTTTGAGGTGGGGCTAACGGGTTTGCGAAGAAACACACACTAGAAATACTCCCATTGTATCCCCACATGACTCGAAGGCCGGTTTGG